TGACTCCTGCTCCTCACACAGCTGAGCTTCATCAGAAACACGACTGGAGGGGCCAGGCTCTTCATCAAGCCGTGAGTCTTGTAATTCATCAGAGCCTCCCTCTGACCCTGATGGCCCCTCAACAGCCTCCTCCACCTCCTCCTCAGATTCCTCAGACTCAGCTGTTGGGAACACAGGCTGGCACGGAATCACAACAGTAAGGGATTGTATTACCTCTGCTTTTCAAATAAAACCCATCAGTCTCTTTCCTTGCTTAGTTATATTTATACATGCAGAATGAAGATTGGCTTATTAATAGTTCTTAGTTTGTGTTCAGAAATGCTGTACAATTAAGTAATACAAGTAAGGGGAGATTTAGAATGCACACAGTGTGCACATAAAGTGTGGTGTACAGGTAGTCCTCAACTTACAACTGTAATTGAGCCTGGCAATTATGGTCATAAATTGTGACAGTTGTAAAGCAGGTCATCCTACAACCAAGCCAATTTTATGACCTCTTTTTTTTGCAGTAGTTGTTAAGTAAACATGGTGGTTGCTAAGTTAATGCGGTGGTTGTTAAGCAAAAACATCATAAATCACAGTCACATGACCCCAGGACACTGAAAACTGGCATAAATTCCGGCTGGTTACCAGGCACCCAAAATGCAGTCACATGACTCAATAGAATAGAATAGAATAGAATAGAATAGAATAGAATAGAATAGAATAGAATAGAATAATAGAATAGAATAGAACCTTTATTGTCACCTTAAATGAACACTAATCAGCATACATTAAAATGAAATTTTGTTGCATTCAGCTCTCAAAAAATACCATTATGCATATACCCACATACACAAACATATCTGACACAGAGGGGTGGGACTGTCCATCGGTCCTTTGGAATAGGGTTGTAAATAAATTTTGGTGTGTCTGTTGTAACTTTGAACAGTCTCTTAGTGACCGGTGATAAGTCAAGGACTGTCTATAGTGGTTAAGGAGTCAATGGGGGAAACTCAGCTTGTAGTCCACCCCATTTAGGCATGGAAGAGAACGGGGTGATTTTGGGCCAGGTACTCTCTGTCAGCCCAACCAACTTCACAGGGTTATTGAAGGAAGAAATAGGAGAAATAGTGATGTATGTTGCCTTGAGCTCCCGTACCAAAGAATTTAACTAATAATAAATGTGAATACTGCTAATGTCTTACAGCAACTGCCATTATTAATAATCCATTTGTGGTTTTGCCACAGATACCAGCAATAGTCATTTCTTTGATTAAGGCACAGATAAAGGTAGTCATTGACTAACAACTATTCGTTTAACAACTATTCAAAGTTACAACAGTGCTGGAACAATGGACTTACAACCAGTTCTCACACTTAACAACTGTGACAGTGTTCCTGGAGTTACACAATCAAAATTTGAGTGCTTGTCATCCAGCATATATGACATATTCACCACTGTGACCTTCCAACAAACAAAATCAATGGGGGAAGGCAGATTTGTATGATTTACTTAACAACTATGGTTATTCACTTAACAACCACAGCAAAAAAAGGTCATAAAATCAGACAAAACTTACTTAATGACCTCATCACTTAGCCATGGAATTTCCGGTCCCAATTGTGGTTATAAATTGAAGACAAGCTTGGTCCTACCATCCCCTTAGATTGTGTTCCCCAAGAAAGGCTACACTAATGTGTAGAATGTCAATGTTTTGATCACCTTGTTGCCAATAGTAGTAGCTCACTGCATGGTTATCCACTGTTTCAGATCTATGTCCGCAGCACAGATTATGATCGCACCATCATGAGTGCCCAAGCCAACCTGATGGGACTTTATACAAATTCACATTATATGGGCTGATATATTGTGCTATTTAACAGGCATTTAGGAATAAAAAATACACCTTCCTCAACTCTTTCATTAAATTTAGATCTCGTTTTATTTGAAATAGTTGACAATGTGAACCATTTAAAAGAAAACAAAGAGAGGATTAGTGATTGATTTGCAAGGGAAGAGTTTTAGTATTAAAAGGAGACAACCTAATGTTAAGCTTCCGAAAGGGAGAAAAGTTTCTTTTCAGCCGTCACTGCCTCAGAAGTAATCAGTACTAATTTACACATGGCTTATCCCAGATACAGGACAGGGCTTGAGTAGGATTACTTCAGTGCAGAGAGAAATGGCTCAATATAATGTTTTCTTGTTGCATTTTTTTTCAAATTTCAAATCCTTCATAGAATAACTATAATATCTCAAATAAGGATAATAGCAAAAAGTTTGATCAGGCTGTAGGAAAGTCTACAAAACCACCAAGTGAATCCATCCGGTCTAGGACCCAGGTGATTCAGTGGTTTCTGAAACTAACCTCTGTTACTGCTACAGTGAGAGGAACCACTTTGCTAGACAGATCTAAGTTTGGGAAAGCAATCATAACTCTCTCCTAAAATACTTGGACCTAAATAGTTCGTGTCTGCTTAGGTTCACTCTGAAGATCTGCAATGAATGCAAATAAGAATGCAGGGTTAATTGAGATGGAAATAATTGAGCACAGTGAACCTTAGTCAATTATTTCTGTTTTCCTCTCTTGCAGGGCTTTATGGAAAAAATGGCTAATTATACGGGGCTTAAATCTGAGCAGCTGACCCCGAGAGGCCTCTGGAAGGTGCATGACACACTCTTCTGTCAGGTAAGAGCCTGCATCACAGATAGTTCTCAACTTACCAGCATTTGTTTAGTGACCATTCAAAGTTATGATGGCACTGAAAAAAGTTACTTACAACCGTTCTTCACGCTTACAACCATTGTAACATCCTCATGGTCACGTAATCAAAATTAATAATAATTAATTGGCATACATTTACAAAGTTTGCGATGTCCCAGGGTCATGCGATCACCATTTATTTGCAACCTTCTCAAAAGGCTCCTGACAAGCAAAGTCAAAGGAGGCAGCCAGATTCACTTAACAGCCATGTAATTCACTCAACAATTGCATTGATTCACTTAACAAAATGGCAAACAAGGCTCTAAAATTGGGTGCGGCTCACTTAACAAGTCCCTTAGAACAGGGGTCCCCAAACTTGGCAATTTTAAGACTTATGGACTTCAACTCCCAGAATTCCTCAGCCAACATGGCTGAGTATTTCACATAGCATGGCTAGCTGAGGAATTCTGGAAGTTGAAGTCCACATGTCTTAAAGTTGCCAAGTTTGGAAGCCCCTGCCTTAAAAATTATGGTCCCAATTACACCAAGATCACCATTTCATTAGAAAACTCTTTTTTTTCATTTTCTACACAGAAAACCCATAACATGACTTTGCCTAACTGGGATACACCACAGGTTTTGGCAACTCTCTCAGAGATAGAAGTGTTTAATATTGAAGCCCATGTGGGAATGCACGCTACCCAGGAGAAGGCTCGATTCATTGGAGGTACAATTAAATTTGAATTATTTGCTCTGTTTGGAATCAAGACCTAGATGTATATGGTAAATGTCTCAAAGGTGCTTTTTTTTCCTTCAAAAGGCAACTGGACTGTTGTTTTTTTCCTTAAGAAAGAAGAGGCAAATGTTTTGCTTCCCATCCAAGAAGCTTCATCAGTTCTGATGATGATAGGAAGATGGAAGGACTGATGAAGCTTCTTGGATGAGAAGCAAAATGTTTTCTTCCTCAAGTGAAAAAACAGTCCAGTTGCCTTTTGAAGGGGGAAAAAAAAGCACCTTTGAGACGACTATGACCTGGATGACTGAGAATCTCCACAGATATATACAGGTAGTCCTCAATTTACGACAGTTCATTTAGTGACCGTTCAAAGTTACATCACTGAAAAAAGTGATGACCATTTTTCACACTTATGACTGTTGCAGCATCCTCATGCTCAGATGATCAAAATTCAGATGCTTGGCAACTGACTCATATTTATGACGGTTGCAGTGTCCTGGGATCATGTGATCATCTTTTGTGACCTTCTAGGTTAGCCAGACTCACTTAACAACCGTGTTACTCACTTAACAATTGCAATATTCACTTAACAACTGTGGCAAAAAGGTCGTAAAATGGGGCAAAACTCACTTAACAAATGTCTCACTTAGCAACATAAATTTGGGGCTCAATTGTGGTCATACATTGAGGACTACCTGTACGGTAAAATGTGGCAATACTAAGTTAAAAAGTAAACACAGGACAGTTTGAAGGAAAACGATTGAAAGTACAAAGTGTGTACCAGCTTGGAAATATGTATGTACGTACATATGTACGTGTTTGTTTATTTAATTTCTGTACCACCAATCTCCCCTACAAAGTGACTCTTAGCCATGTAAACCTAGGACATTTCCCCATTAGCAATGTGTAGAATGATACTAGCATAATTGTGCCCAATGAGGACAAGTTTTCTGTCTACAGTGATGGCTGAATAATGCCATAGTGATGCTATTGTTCACTAGCAAGGAACAGCGTAACATTCCTTCGCTCCCTCAATCTCATTGGGAATTTTGCATTTCAGGGTCCAGCAACTAGCCCTCAAATATCACGTTAGCTTAATAGCACCCCCATGTGGCAGGAAATGTTATTTAACATGCCATAACAAAGCCAGTGCTTGAGGGAGATCAGGATCCCTTCAACTTCCTTTCTAAGCTTTGGTATACTTTCTTTTTTTTTTTTTGAAACAAATTTTATTGGTTTTTTAATTCTTAGAACAAAGTGCTCAAGACACACCGCGGTGCTGGGGTAATCAAACATCCAGAAATAAAACCATATATGAATAACTCAAATCAATACATCAAATGTTCCCTCTCTATTTCCCTCAAATAGCTTAATATATTTAAAATAGTCATTTATAATTTAAATTTCTATTAATCCTAAACCTGTTTTGGAGCTTTATGAATTTACAATTACCATAATCAAATTTAACTTTAAATAAACACATTATCAATTCAGGTATCCCTTCCAGGTATATTCTAGTTCCTTAATTTTATCATAAGTCTTGTTTATTTCTTTTTCCACTAATATCTCCTAATTAAAATAAAATATTAGTCTAACCTATACATATCTAATTCATCAATCAATCAATCTCTTTAAGATAACAAGATATTTTCCTCTCTGCAGGTTTGCTGCTGGGTGCTATTTTGAGCAACTTTTCCAAAACGGTGTGCCAGGATCTGCCTCTTAAGATGATCATGTATTCTGCTGTAAGTTCTCCTCTTCCTTACAATTCCAAAGATCCACTTTGGAAAATGAGATAATCCAGAGAATTTACAGCAATCCTCTCCTCTCTGCAGCTATCGTTATCTGCAGCACAGAATTGGTTTGGGGCAGAATTTGAGCATTTTTCTATAATCTTAAGAATTCTATCTAGCTGTTACTTTGTAGGGTTGCTATTATGGCAAAATTTCAGGGCTTAGCAGAAAAAGATGGAGCCTTACTTCCCTCCTCCCTCCTGCCCCAGCTGAGTGGACATCTTATTTCAAAATAAGCAAAGGTATCCAAACAGGGTTGGATCAAATCCAGTCATGCTTCCTGATATCAGTGATGGAATATTTTCCCATTTCTTGGTTTACTTCAAATATATATATGGCTACCCACCTCACCATGGTGATTTGGGGCAGATAACATAAACAAGCAAAAAGGAAAATAGCTATAATTGCCAGTGAAAGAGACAAAACTGAATATAGCAAGCAGAAAAGTTACTTATTTTTTGACCTTCTCTGGACTTAAATACCTTTCTTCACTTTGAAAACACCTAGCCTTTAATTTCCTTCTACAGGGCTCTGGCACTCTGCTACAAAATCCTGCCCTGATGGTACAGAGAATACAATTTGATATGCCAAGTTTTATTCAAGAATAAGGATAAGGACTGGAAGGCAGACATGGACATGAGAAGTGTGGGAAGAAGGGATGTTCTGGTCTATTCTAATATGTAAATGGCATAGTAATTATTTCTGCTTATTTTGTTTAGCATGACAGCACCTTGATTGCTCTCCAGGCAGCCCTCGGGGTTTACAGTGGCTGTCCACCACCCTATGCAGCTTGTCATGGATTTGAATTCTACCAAGAAAACTGTTAGATCGCGCAGGCAGTAAGACACGAGTCGAGTGACAGTCAGCTCTCGGTTTATTGGCAAGGCATAAAGTAAATCCGGACTGGCATCTGGGCCAGGGGAGCCCTCTTTTATGGGATTCCCCTGGCTTGTAATCACACAATTCCATTGGCTGGTAAGACCCCGTTGCTAGTTAGCCAACCAGCAACGGGCATG